TCAAGAATCACCTTCAAGTATGCTCCCGGAGCTTAAAATCCTGCCTGTCTCACATGAAAACAGGCATATTATCATCAAAAGGAAATAAAGACTACAATGATGAGATCAAGTGTCATCAGCCTCTTGATCATTCTGTCCATATTCTAACGGGTATGAATAACTTATGCAGACTGCCAGGGAGGCTGCAGCCTGAAAGATAAATGCGACCCAAAGAATATTCCTATCCATCTGCCTGTGTATCTGAAAGGGGGAAGAAATTTAGTCTTTTTAAAAAGGCCCCCAAAACACTTTTCTGAGTCTGAATCATTATTTAATGATGCCAAAACCCTGTGCTACTTAATACAGAAATAGCAAATACTTCTCATTATTAAAGAACTCTAAAAATAGATTAAAATTGATATCATTTATAAAGATGAAACGTTCTTAGGTGCTAATAATTTTACTATTTTATGAAAGCCTAGCTCATTGTTCAAAGTGCTGCCTAATGAAGTACTGACTCATTTATGTGACCAAATTCTAGGAAATGCCACTTTTTCTTTGGATGTTACCTCTCCTTCATCCCCTTTGGCACTTTAGTTTGGTTTACTGTATGATTCTTGTTTTCTCCTTCTTATCTCAACTTCTTTTTCATATTGTCCACTCCTTTCTCCTTCTGGGCTCTGTACAGGATAATTCCTTCAGGATGTTCTTCAGGTTGCAAATTCTTTGTTCAGTTGTGTCTAGTCACTTTCACTCAACCTGGTGTTTTCTTTTCAGAGATAATATTTTTCATTACTAGAAGTTCCATTTGTCCTAGTGACATTCTGTAGAATGTCTGGTTTTCTCATAACATATTTATGTACCTAGTAATTCATTCATGGAAGTACTTGTAGGTCTATTCCTGTTTCTTATTATGCCTATTGACATTTGCTCCTAAGAGACTGTTTCCGTGTGTCTTATTATTTAGGACTGTGACTCTTGCTTAAGTGGGACTTAATCTGGGAATCCTGTGTGGCTTGGGTTAGGATCTTTGTCCTTCCTGAAGAACGGTTTCTGCCAGGTAACCCAGGGTGATTATGAGTACAGGACCATTTCCCTTCTACCTGTAGTCTCAGAAAATGTAAATACAATAAAATTGAACCCCAAAGACTGGTGAAGAAAAGGCCATGAGAGAAAATGTTTAAAGTATTAGCATTTTATTTCACATAGATCCAAAGTTGAAGTAAATGTGTTTATCATCATGTGGTGCAGAATTCTGTGCATGTGCTTATCGCCAAGCACCATAACTCATCTCCAAGTCAGACTTTGCTCCTGAACTTCAGCTCCTACAACCAACTGGACATCTTCCCTTAATGTCTATGTAATAAGTATCTCAAATTTCACCACAACCAAAGCTGAAGCCAATTCTTTATTTCCTTTTCTCCATCTCTTCCCTTCCATCCCCTCTCACTAAACTTCTGGTCCCTATCCCAGCAGTACCAGTCACACAGCCCAGGCCCAGAGGCACATGTGGCTTTAATCCCTACGCACAGATCCACATGCTGCCGACACGTGGTGAGTCCCCTTTCCTACATTTAAGCACAGCTTAAAAGGGTTTCTTGTACACAAGCAATGACAAGAAGCCTTGCCCATCTTCTAGCGATGATCTTAATGACTAGAAGGCCTCAATTTTGGTTTTTCAAAGCAAGCAGGCAAAGGAGGCTACTTCAACTGAATATAGTTAGGTACTGATACCAGAGTACTCCCAGGCGTGTTCCATTCATGCAGGTACTACCCCAGGGTTGGGAAAGCGCGAGTAAGATACTTCCTATAAGTCACCATGAGTGTGGCTCAACAATAAGATCCTTACAGACTGAAAAGCTCAATGCAGGTATTCAGATCCTTCTTCCACACTTGGCTCTCAGTGCAGCTGAAACGACCTGCAGTTGCCCAAGTATGTCTCATGACACCTTCCTTCAAAGACTGTTTTTGTACTGTTTACAATACTTGGAATGTCCTTCTTTCTTGCTCTTTTGAAAGGGCCATTTATTCTACAAGGATCAGTTCAAATAATACCTCATTTGCATGACTGTCCTACTGAGGAGCCTGTACCACAATGGATCAAACCATTTGTAGTACAAATAGATCTAACCACTTTTCTGGGTTTTCACTAATAAAGTTAGTTTTTAAAAACACCCAATGGGACAGTCACACATGTTCCACCAGTGGCTTAAGCTGTCCAGCTGCAAGACATATGAATTATGACCCATAATGTATTCATAACATCAACATCCAAATACTCCTGTATTTATGCAAAGCTAAGGAACAGCCAGGATGGTAAATAGCTGATGCCTATAATCCTGGCACTCAGAGAGGCTGAGGGAAGAGGAGCTCACATTTGAGCCCAGCTTGGCAACTTTAACTGAATGAGACACTGTCTCAAAATAAAAAGTGGTGGAAATGCTGCTCAATACAAAGGTTCCAGACTTAAGCCCTGGAAGCAGGGGAAGGAAAAAAAGCAGGGTAAAGAGTGGTTTTTTATTCAATCCCTGGTATCTCAAAAAAAAAAAAAAAAAAAAAAAAAAGCAGTTTTTCACTTCAAATTATATCCCAAAGACAGTGTGTACAATTTTGAAAAATATGTTACAAAGCTTTAAAATATATAGAAAAGTAGTGAGGAAAGGTAATGAAGCCACATGTGTCTACGCAACTTTTACCTGACTTTATCAACTGATTTGTGACTGTCTTGTTTCAGCGATATCCCTCCCAACCTTCATTCTCCACCAGTCTTATTTTAAAACTGTGGACATATTATCATTTCATACATACTCAGCTTCTATATCTCATAGGTAAGATTATCTAAAATAAATATATAATTGTATTAACCCCTGAAATTACTAAGTCCTTATCATTAAATATCCAATCAGTTTCTAAAAGCCCCCATCTGTTTTACTTGCTTGAACAATAATCAAAGTGAGGTCTACATATTAACACTGATCTCTTAAGTATTCTGTGCTATATGTTTGCCTCCCCTGTTCCACTTCCCTTAAAATTTACTCACTGAAGAAGTCATCATAGTCTGCAGAAAAACTCTTCATGGTGCCACTGAACATGTTCTACTTTCTTTTACATTTCCTAGAAAAACGATAGCTAGGGCTACAGCCTGAGCATATTCAGTTCAATTTTCTGGCAAAACTACTTTATAGTAGAGAGCACACTAATAGCAAGGAGCATTTAGTATCTGGTTGTTATTGTGATGTTAGGAGTCCTCAATCTCCTGGGCTACATACAATCTCTAACAAAACCTACCATTTCTTTAGAGATGGCAAAATGGTGACAGGGTGACACTGGATAATTCTTCTTTACAGGGATATGCCAATAATGTGCCACTTCTTCCCATAAATTACTTGCTTCCCCTAAGCAATAGTCCATACAGGAAAGACAGGGAAAAAAATGCCTGCATCTTTCTGTGTATTGCTAGTTTTGAAAATGAGTTTATTTCCTAGCAGCCTCCATGAACAATTATTAGTTTTTCTTTAGTATTATTGTGATTTCCTCTATACCCACCTAGAGATGTTTCTTTACTTCAGTTGCTATCATTTCAGAGATTTCAAGTGTGTGACTTCCAATTTCTTCTATGGTGATGTCTCCAGGACTTGTTCTGGTTAGGCTAGGGGCCTGAGATTGCATTTTGCTCATTACTCTTGTCATTTTCTATTTCAGAAAAAACTGTGAGTTCTATGATAATCCCTGTGAAATTTTGGTAGTAGGTAGCTATAGCCATCACTACTATTAAGGCCACTCTAAGAACATTCTGTTCTTCAGGAATATCTTCTGTGTGTCAGAGATTCTTGGTTTATGTCTATTCTGAGATCCTGCCTTCCTAATTAAGAGTGGGATGCTGATGTCCATTCAGCTCTGTCCTCCATCTTTAGGTGCAGGGCTGTGGTGAAGTTATTACCCCAGCATGTCCCAATATCATTACTCAAGGGAGAACATGTGGTTAAAACAGATATGCTATCCCAGCTACAGTAGCACAATTAGCAATAATAGCATCATGCAAAATTTAGAAATTGACAAACTTTGGTAACTACTGGTTTTGTATTTTAAGCTATAGGAGCAAAGCCATTTGTAATTTTTGTGTGAACTATCTGATGATTTATCTGCTCACTTTTTCTATTGAGTTGATATTCTCATTGTTATAAACTGCAAATACTATTTCAATTTGTCACTCCATACTTGACTTATAAGGTTTTTATCTGTAGAAAAATTAAATATATCAATCTTCCCCTTATTGTATCTACAGTTTGAGTTGTAGAATATTATTCTACTTCCATATTCAGTAGAATTCACCAATTTTTTTTAGTATTCATAGTATATGGTTTTGTTTCTGATTGCTAAGTCTCTAATTCATGTGTAATTTACCCTTGGCACTACGGAAACAATAAATCTGGCACTGTCTTCCCTCATTATACACTAAAAATCCATGTGCCACATAACTTCTCATTTTCTATGCAGTTCCATTAGTCTGTCTTTTAAAATACCAACCTCAGCTTCAAACTTAGAGCCTTAATAATATGTTTCAATAACTAGCAGGTGACCAGCCTCTTCTACAGTTCTCTTAGGGGCATTTCTCATTATTCTTGCCCATTTGTTCTTTCCAGTGAAATTTCTAATCAATTTGTTTAGCTCCAGGAAAACACATATACACATATGTGTGCACACGCAATCATGATAGTTAGAAGTTTGTAAACTAAGGGATTCACAAATTTATGGTATTAAAAGTAAAGGCTAGAAATAAGGACTAAAAATTTTTTTTGGGGGGAGAATCTTCAAATATCTTACTTGTGCTTTTGAAGAGATATAGGGCAAACCCAGAAAACTTTGTTCCGTTAACACAGGAAATTTTTAAACAAATTTACATTAACGATCAAAGAAATACAATTTATTTCATTTACATCTGCATTTTGTAATAATTAGAAAAAGTGAAAATGGTCAAATAATGAAGCACAGCAAATATTAGCAATGTACTTGTTCCTCACCTTCCTTTTTCAGCCACTTCACAATGTTTCCTTCTTCCATTGTAGGAGATAGTGATGGCATTAGTATCTTAATAGGATCAACTGAAATTGAAACAAAGAAAAGGTCAGACAGACACACAAAGTACTTTACGAAGCATTAATATTAGTACAACTAAGTGTTCAGTAAATGCTACAGAAGAGTAAAAGTCTTCACACTGTTTTTAACAAAATTCTTTTTTTTGGGGGGAGGGGTGGGAAATCTCAGTTTCTTTTATGGAGTTTCCTGGTCTTACATGCATAGTTTGAAGCTAAGTGTTACAAGTTAAAAAAACATAAGAAAGAAAAAGAAAATTTGATTCAGATTTTATCTTTTCCTTTCCCTTTTGTCTCTGCAAGAAAATTTCGATAAAATGCCCAAAAGATAAATAAGAAACAAAAAAAAGAATGAACATAGCAACCTAACAGGGGTCTCATGACCTACAGCAGAATAATCAAGCTTAGATTTTAAGAAACTGCATTTTCTTGTAACAATATACTATGCAACATTCAAAGGTTCCTGTGAGCTAGTATAAAAGGAAAAGTTTGCTTTGTCAAAGATAATCAAGAGGACATAAGGGGCTCAACTGACACCAGACTTTGCTCCCTATCATAATTCAGCTGAGGATCCAAAGGGCAGGTCTCGCCTCAAACTTGAAATTTCTTGGTGAAACATTACTACTTTTGCCTTAGCCCAAAAGGCGACATAATGCATTTGTCCAGCTGGGCTTCCTAGTTTTCATCCACAGTCTAAGACCAATTTCAAACAGCATACAGCTTTATACTTACAAAATACCATGGTGATAAAATGTGTTTCTTCAATTCTTCTCAGAACCTATTCTCTCAACTTACTAAACGTTCAAGATCCAAGCAAGACACTGCAGCATAGTTAACATACTTAAAATGTGGAAAGAAGACAGAATGGGGTTTATTTTTTGTCTGTTAACATTTTAAGGCTAAGAGTATGGGAATTTTTAACACTAATGTTAAGTGAGGTTGAAGACTTCCTGGGGAAAACTGAACTAATTTTACTGTAATTTCAAATGGAGAACTCCTATGGCCTCGTGTTAAAGACATTTATACTTCTTTCAGATATAGTGCATGCATTTAGAACAGAGCTTCCATGCACTGTCCACTTCTCCTTCACTCCTCTGAAGGCCTGGGGGAAAGCATATGTATCTGTTTCAGTCCTGTCCTCAATTTCTTCCTAGGAGCTTCCCATTCATGAGAAGCCTGCATTTTTCTCTCCGCTTCTACTAAATGGGCATTAATGAACCAGTCTTTCAAAGGCAGAGTCAGTCTACCTTTCTCTGATCTTTCCACCAGGGGCTACTGGGTGTGAGGCACCAATTCACTTATGAGTGCTTGCTTTGTTGACACAAACTGGCCCTGAAACAGAAAGCCCAAAGCCCAAATATGAGGTTGTACGGGGGAGCCTACCTGTGGCTACATTCTAGGTAATCTTCAACCTAAACAGCACTGAGATACTAGCCAGCCAGCCATGCACTTGATCTCTTCCCTCTGACCCAAGTGTTCCTTACAAATAAGGATCATCAATTAATCATGGGTTATCTGCTGCCTAGTTTCCCAAAAACTCAAACACAGCAAACCAGACATACTAACTCCACGTATGCATTATATGGTCAATAGGGTCTCACTATACAGAATGGACGCCTAGTGATTACCCGTTTTTAGCCTCCCAAGCACTGGGATTATAGGCATGAGCCACCACGCCTAGTCTCAACTGCACCACCATGGGGTGGGAGCAAGAACTGCAAGTTGGGGATCGAATCCGGTCCCTGCCCCTGCCTAAGCAGATGCTTTAGTCTGCTGGGCTATGTGGCCCGCCCTGTATTTTTAATGTCTAATAAAATTTCCTAATAAAACCTCTCTGTATCTTTGACATAAAGATTTTTTTTTAACTATTGGCAATGAATAACGCAAGTGTAGAAGAGAACAGATGACTTTCAAGTACACTATGTGTTAGAAACATGAAAGGAAAAATAAGCTACAGTGGGTCTCCCATGTCCTAATTTACTAATAAAATGTATCACTACTTTAGGAAAGCATACACAGGCCATCTAATTCCTGTCCACTATGATTCCCAATCAGCACTGCAACAACTTTATTTACCTGCCAACCTACCTCTAGTTAAAAGGCATATTATAAATAGATTATAACTTTTTAAATGTTTACATTTAAAACAAGTTCTTGTGGTCTAAAACAGGCACATTAAGTAAGACATCAGTCAGGTACAAATAACACAAACTACTATATGTAATCTCAAGCTATCGGTGTGTTAGTACTGGAAGACCAAGTTCTTCAATAAACTAGAATTAAGGAAATGGGCTTAGGGAAAACAGACACACACGTAAAACTGTAACATCGGTGATGAAACTCCAAATTCAAACCATAATAATCCTATGCTCACAATTTTAATAATTAAAAAGTGATCAAAGACTAACATAATAAACAATCTTAAATAATAAAATGATCTTTTAGTCATCTAGACTACGGCGTGTGCCTATTATTGGGCTAGGAAACTTAGTGACTTGGCAAGACCTATTCTCAAAGAACAAAAAATGACCAGAGGTTTAGGGTATAGCTCAGTATAAAGACCCTAGGTTCAAATAAATCCTAGTACCCTCCTCCTCAAAAATTTCATAATCATATATATATATATATATATATATATGTATATATACACACATATATACATAAAACTCATCTATCAAATAGAATGCTGCTTCAAAGAAGCTAAATAAATGACTATGACTCTATAGTACATTCAACTTACGACAAATACTAAATCAAGTCTCTCCAGTATTTTTACTTTGGTCTAGTTGCCACAATACAATTCACATATAATGATTTTATCTCACATTATAATCTTTCACCTAAGAAACCCTCATATTTCCATTTGTCTCTACATTAAGCACTATATTATAAAACTGCATTTATTAAGCATTACTTTTCAAATCACATCCAGGACTCAAAAATTTTCCTATCTTAGAAAGAAAATATAATCATTCCTCATACAGATACCCTTCATGGATGAATTGAAATAGCTTCTGAGAATAATGATAACAAAGTATAAAAATCTGTAATAGATCACTATCCTCACTTTGAAATGAAGGTGACAAAAACCAAAGAAAGATATTTTCGACATCTCCATTACTCATACTGTCGCTCAGCTGATTATTCTGGCTTATTATGGAGACAAAAATGGGCAATATATTATCCACTTACTCTACCCGATCTATCGTCAGTTCTTCATGCTAGAAAAACAATTTCAAAGCATAAGTATTAATTTACTAATAACAGTATATATTTCATTCCAGTATACTGTCTTTGGATTAGAACACTACATATATCTTTTCAAAATGCACTCTTCTGATGGGAAAGTAATTATATAATCATAACATCAGCTTTCAGGAACAGCACTACACATAATCAATATCTGCCCTTTATGGCTGCTAGCAACTTTTTTTTTTTTTTTTTGGTCTCTTGAGAAGGTCT